ATTGCAGAAAGAAAAGAAGAAAGATCAATGTAAGGAGTAAAATTAGTTGGATTTCAAGAGAGAAATTTACATTCTATGAATGATTATATAACAGCATTACAAATGATTTTAAATATTGATAAAGATATTGGATACTTATCTAATAAAGTTGCTCCATTGGTAGCTGATTGGCCTGGTCAATTGTTTATTCGCAAAGCAATTACCAATTTACATAATCCAAATTCACAATATTCTATACCAGCTGGAATAAATTCATTTGTTCCAATTTTGGGCCCTTTGCATGTTTCTCTAAATAGCAGGAAGCAAGTATTAATTATATATAATAATTTTTTTCAAAAATTGTTTCATTTTGTATTTGGAAAAAAAAAGATACTAGAAAAGAAACCCAAACCATGGAGAATAAACTTGCTGCTTGATCTAGCATATAGTGGATGGTGTAAAATTAGAGATCTAATAATATTAAAATTTGGAAATGTCTGTAAAGATATTGAATATTGTATGGTTATTGACCTTTTGGATAATGTAATTCCAGCAACTTTAGATATCTATGCTATTCTTTTTTGATCTGGCTTATTTGATGAGTATATAGAAACTATTTTTCGGATTTGGACATTTGCTCTTCGATGAAAAAGACACAATTATAACAAAGCACCATTAGCATTTCTCTCAGATGTTTTTTACTGGCAAGATACAAATCATCCTTTTGCAGAAGCTATAAAATTATTTTTAGTAAATTTCAATGATTACTATGTTGAAAATATGCATAGCAAGATAAGGGCTCATACATTTGCAAATAATAATACAGATAATATTATTAAACAAGCTTACCTAATTGGTATGATCTTGTTTTTGACTTGATTATGTTATTACTAATAATTATTGATAATATTATAATTATAATTGATTAGATGCGCGATATAACTGTCAAATTAAAGATGTTTTTAAAAAAAAATATGAATACCCTTATAAGCCATCGACATTGGATTTGTTGTCAGAAAAAAACAGCTCTATTTTTATTAGATTATTTTCATGAGATCTTTAAAAATTGTGGAAAAAGCAAAATTGAAAAGAAAAATCGATATAAATTAGCTACCTTAGGAGAAATTGTTGACTCAAAATGTTTTCTAGCTGGATATAGTACTAGTATATCCCCATTGCTAAATGCTTGCGATCACTGTAAAAAAAAACTTGATGATGGTGAAGTTTTAGTTTGTGGGCATGCATACCATTTTGAATGCTATCAAAAATTAGAGTATAGTTGTCATTATTGTGAAGAATATTATAAACGCGGAATATATAATAATGTGAATTCCTTTTTAAAATGATTGGAAAAAGGTCCAAATATACTTACCACTGAAGAAAAAGAAGGTGAAAATGTTGAAGATATCGCTAATGAAGATGATGAAAAGGCGGAAGAGATAGAAACAAATAAAGCCAACAAGTACATGTAGCTTTTATAAATGCACTTAACCAAATTGGCACTTGGTAATATATTTAGATTCCAATCAATAAAAACCTGAACAAGTTAGCACTTGGTAATATAATATATCCATTAAATTCCTAACTAATAAATCATTATCATAAAATATATAAAATATACTCCTTATGTAACTTGCTAGGCATTTGGATCCATTTGGATCCAAAGAATCCATACGAAAAGTTAGCTTCAAAAGAGTATATATGCGAAGTTTCGTCACTGGTTATTTTGTAAAAAAAAAAATTTTATAAAGGTCGATCATTTTTTAATTGAACTTTATTGTAAAATATATATAAATAATTGTGTAACAATATTAACCAAATTTAGACTTTACCTATGCTAACAATTGGGTAGAGTATATATATATGAAAATCTGATCGGTCAGATGATCGAGTGAATGTATTACGTCATTTCACAATTTTTTTCCGATGCCATAGTACAGTATATTTTCTGAAAAAATTTATACAAATGCTCAATTTTATTGTTGAATCAGAGAAATGTATGATGCTATCAAAGAGGGAGGGAGTACGCGGATTTTAGGCCATTTAATGCGAGTTCTAGCATCAAGTTATTTCTTTGTTCTCTTACATTTTTTACGAAAAGTATCTATAACTAATTTATTTCTATCAATATAACTAACTGCAAGATTCTCACTCCCACGCTCTTTTATTATTCTAGATTTTCTAAATGAATTATCCCACCCATATCTACGCCTATCTATATCACTACCACCTGCACAGATTATGTAAAATAATATTTCACGCAAGAGAAGTTTTTTGAGAGGAAGTAATTTCGATTCTATAGAAAGAATTCGAAGATTAGCAATGAGATATAAAAAATAATCAATGCAGACATATTTTAGATTCATACTCACCACTACGATTCATTATAATATTCCATTCCGCCTGAAATTTGTTGCTTAATACATTACAATAAAGGTAATTCAATTTTTTTATCGTTAGTATGATACTGCGTCAAGTATCAAAAATTCGGCATGTGAAGATACTTAATTTTACTGTGTCAAGAATTAATAATATCCCATCACAGGGATTTATTTTTGTGATACTGCGCCAGTTATACGCGTGATTATGGTCAGTGATTTTCTCGGCGAAGATCAAAATGCCAATATATAACAAGGATAGTAATATGTCCATTTTATTTTGAAACATTTATAGAGGCGGAAAAATTGATTAACATCGTGATGACATGTTTAGAGAAACTAGCCGAGCAGTAAATCAACTTACTTTATTATTACTTTGCGAAATATATAGGTTCGTTTAATTGTAAATATCGATGATGCAAATAATGGTATGTTAGATTGGTTTTGATTTTTTGTTTTACTTGCACAAGGCGGATAAAAGAATTCACTAACCAGGTCATCACCTTTTTATATAATTCACAGAATCAATTTTGTTATACGCTCTTAGGAAAATTACATTAATATGATTGCATCACGAAAATCTGATCAATGGACTTTCCTTAATTTAAGAATAAAAGAATTTAACGCTATCCATATATAAAGATCATCAAGGGGTCCTTTTACAATAATATACGTAATAATTTTGAGAATATGCGAGAAAGTTTGAGAATAAAAGTCTATAGATCTTCGCTGGTAATTTTAATTTGCTAATCCAGATTTCCTAAATTACCCTGTATTAACATGCATATACGCTCGAGCATAAAAAATTAGTATGTACAGTCTAAAAATTATTACTAATTGCCACGAAAAAATATTTGACTACATTGCTCGGGTCACTTAGTGCCCTAAACGTTTTTTATTTACAATATATTGAGCTAAGATAAATTACATGATGCGGGACTAGCTCTGGGTATATGATATCATTCTATAATTGTAGACTATTATTATACACGATTATTTTTTCGAATGATATTGCTTTTTTCTTTGAGGCAAAGTTCTAGACGTAGTCTATGATACATGCTATGTTATATGCACACTTCTAACGGGATCTACCGGTTAATCATATGATAAATGTTAATTTTAATGACGTACTTAAAAAAATCTCAGCAAGAATTTTTCTGATATCAATTACGCATCTGATTTCACATGATGAAGTTTTTTTTCCCAAGTAATTTGAAAAAAATAAACTTATAAGATAATCTAGTACTAAAATATGTGATAATTCTCCTAGACGGTTACCAGAGAGATAATAGGACTCATCATTAGTGAAACTTTCCTTTCATATCTTCCGTCACGATAATAATAACCTCTATCACATTCATCATATTCATTATATTCACCGTAACCATTATATTTATCATCATCTGAATTGTTTGACATCTTTTCTTCAGAATCGTTGTTGTGATTACAGTCATTATCATCGTTCGTTTCTTCTACTGAATAGGGTGAATCATAATCGACTTTCTCATCAAAATATATATCATCATTTGACTGGACCCTGGGAACCCCTTAACTTCGTTCACCTCTTCTTTCTCTACCTTAGCTTCGTTCTCATATGGTGTACTCCAATAAGCAGTCTTATCATTAAAATCTCTTGTGAGCGTTTTTATATAATCCTCCAAATCAGCTGATAATGATGAATTTTCTTCAGGCAAGATTTTTTCGCTAGTCTTAAGATTTCTGGCTGAAATTTCAGGAGTTGAAAAATCGTCCTGCTCTGCAGAATTATCCTGCCTCTCTGAGGCCTCTATGATCTCTTAAATTTGATCGTTAGTCAACTCTAAAATGAAATTGGGACTATATATACTAAGATACTTAATTTTATCTATACCTATTTTCTCGAATATTCTAACAAGCTTCATAGACCTTTGAGTCCTTCTAGTTAGAGAACTACAGGAGATTTTTGAAAGCTGTATATCCATTTCTTTTGATCTCTTCTCACGAATGGTAATAAGATGTTCTAACATCTCATCATAAATTATACCTTTTACTTTTTTCTCTCCGATTTTACCATTGCTATTTTTCACAAGTTCACTAAAGTGAACCATGAATTCTTTCCCAAAGTTAACCCAGCATAAAATTTCTTCCTCGTTGGCTTTTTTAGTGTGATATTTGGCATCTGATGCTTTATCAAATAGCTTTGCTAAATCGAGCAGAGATGAAGAGCATTTTGGGCGATAGGCTGTCGCTGAAATTTCAATCTCATAAAATGATTCACAGAGTGAACAACCAGAGGAAATTGGCTCTTGATGTTTTATATCATTCTGAATACCGTCAATTATCACTTGGGCAATTTTCTCAACATCTTTTTTCTTATAACTATTTTGACAAGATTGCTTCACAACCTCCTATTCTGAAAATGCCACGCTTTCAGTATAAAGCTTCTTTTCCTTATTACGTCACTTTATTTCACTACTGACGATTTTCTTATGAGCCTCAAGCAAAAAACTATCTATATCTTTCTCTTCTAACGATTTGCCATTTAGGCGCTTCGCAGAGTTGGTAGGTACCGTTATCGCCTCTGGTACTGCAACTGAATTGAAACTAGGTAAACTGTTGTTAGAAGAATTATGCGAAGCATCTCTCAGCTCATTTAGAGTCTGTTTCTGTTTCACTTTCGTGATTCTATCTCTAAACTCAGATTCCAACTCCTCGATTCTGGCCTTAAGTTTGGCATTTTCAGCATCACGCCTCTCGTTATATTTCTCATTCGCTTTTAGAAACTCAGCATTCTTGCGCTTAAGTTCAGCTATTTTAGCATCAGATATTGAGAGCTTGATTCTAAGATCGTGGATCTCAGTATTCTCCTTTCTAAGCTCTGCAATCTCAGCCTCAAGCTTGTCATTCTTAGCTTCAAGTTCAATGATACACTGTTTCGATAATTCAAACTCAGATGACATGATCTATATATAACTAATACAATGTATATAAGTATTCAAAATAAAAAAATATATCACATATTTTTGGGCGATAGGCCATCGCTGAAATTTGCCAAGAAAATTTTTTATTAATACATGCGAAAATAAATACAAATGTTCGGGATGTAACCGTGATACATATTATTTTTTGATAAATTTTTTGATCCTAGCCCTCTTGCTAGTCGGGGAACTATCTACACTAACCCGATCCTTCAACAACCCTACAATTATACCGATTACCCTTTTCACATTGCTTCGAAGTAATTCAGGATTATTTTTAACTGCGGACTTTGTAAGATTAATCTGATATTCGCTACCGCTTATAGAAAAGATGCCATCTGGAGTATATATGATAAAATGCCACTCTGTACCTGTGATTACAATACCATAGATATAGTCAAAATAGTCATTCCCAAATGCTTAATCCAAAGTTCATTTCCTTTTATTAGTCTGAAATGCACTTTCAAGTTACGTCAGATTCTGAAGAAAAAATAAAATGCTATTAATACTATTGAATCTTCTATAAAGCACGAACAGATAGTAAATTTACCTACGCATATCTGATCTTAATATTATATAATTTCCCTTCAGTTATACAAAATAGATCTTCTAAACCTTTGATTGCATAATCTACTTAGCCAGTGACATCTTCACCAGAAACGTCTTTCTGTAAAACTATAAATATATCTTGAGAGGTGAGTTTTTTAGCTATAGCGATAGATGCATGTAATATCGTTGAAATAAATTCACAGTGCATCGCCTCATTAGTATTGGTCATGGTCTTCACATTCAAAAGTTTTAAGATAATATCCTCCATACAGTATTCAAATGCTTTATCATCATCACTAATCTCCTCAAAGACTATAGAGAAAAATAAAGTTAATATAACTATTTAATCAGTTTCGAAAAATAATTAATTACCTACCGGGAGTAAACTGCTTGATGTTTGTAATATCTTTCCCATTGACCTTATTTCTACGTAACATTTCTTTCAGGTCGTCGAGAGTTTTAAGCGAGAAATAGTTTCTTATTTTTTGCTCAAGACCTTCGATAAATTTTGCAAGTGTTGTTGCTGGTCTTAATGCTAACCCAATACTACGAAATTTTTCTTCCGTCAACTCAAGGAAGGCAAGACCAGAAATTTTCTTTTTACGAAGAATTTTAATATCATCTTTATCAAGTTTTAAGTTTTTCCTTCCCAAATAATCGATAAGCTCCTCTGTATTAAAATCCTTAACCACGTCTGACATTGTTCTAGTGGAAATTTCTTCAGTTATTGAGCTTGGAGAGAAAGGTGTAGAGGGTTGTAAAGACATAATTTTTATATATGTGAGTTTGTGCTTGCAAAAAAATATGTACTTGACTGCAGTTACAGGTAAAGCTGGTTTATGGATAAAAAAGTATTTTGGTTTCAGTATTCGGAGAGAAATGATAGATTTTTTTGTATCAATTCATAATGCATTTGCCCAATATATATGCAATTAAGATGTAGTACAGGATTATCAGACGATTATAATACATTATTACACATGATATTTTTCAAGATTTACGACAAGAACATAATATATGCTTTATTTAAAAAATAAAAAAAACCTTGCCGGAAGCCGGCCTACATAAAAATTGCGACTATATCACTATTACATTTTTTTTTTACTGAGATGCTTGAATATCTATATATACTATAATGTGAATATCTTTTTGGGAAGGCTAACCAGAGAAATACTCAAAAATATTAGATATTGGGAATTTCTCACTTCATATATTACTCTTATTTTGTATACTATTCATTATTGATTCAGCATTAATTGATGCTTCTTTTTTATCTGAATTTAAATCGATCGCACGGATCACGAATTCAGTAATTGGAATATCATCAAACTGAGGTGAATGTTTTTCTTTAATTTATTTTCTGAGAGAATGGATAGATTCCCTATTGTCGATATTGATTGTAATAATATGATGTCATATGATTTTCTCAACTGAACAGTTACTAGGAACAACAAGACAGTTAAGTCTGATTTCTGGCATTTTGCTTTTCCTAAACATGAAGGCCCATAGTGAATAAAATTTTGACTTTATATATATAAAGATTTTTTAAAACATTTTATTATAAATAGCAATTATATTTAATACATACCTTAATTTTTCGCGGGAAGGTTGGCTGAACTTCCACATACTCCTACATGCTTTATATCTGGCTGAGAAAAAGTTAAAGAGGTATGAGGCGTAATTAGTATTGTCGTATGATGCTAAGAGTCCCTTGAAAGCACATACAAATGGAATTCTCATACCTTTTCACATGTAGATCTACTGGAGAGACGTAAAGGTAGTTAGTTCTTGTAGATCTCGAAATTATGAGTCTCTCAGCCCTTCATAACATATGCTTTTACCGTTAATATTTACTTTTAGAGTTAGTCCTGTGTTGCTTGTAAACATTCTTTCACATTTTCTCATAATTGTTTGGGGAAAAAAATAAAGAATAAAGGTTAATATATTTTTCGAATATATATGCAAAATTATTATGTCACACAAGATCTGACTGGTGATCCACTTACTTTTTATCACACAGGAGTGGCCCAGCAAATTCATCTGAGCTAAAGATCACTGCTCCAGACTATTGATCTAGCCAACCCTGGATTGGAATACCACTGCAAATTATCTCGTATACTTAAATCTAAGAGGCGCTGAAGACCCTAAGCTAAAATCTGTCTACTAGAAACATTGTTCTGTATAAGATGATTTCTAACTGCTCCAATGAGATCGGGAGGTGATAAATTTTCCTCAAAATTCTCTATGTGGATATTTAGATTAAGAGAAACAAGCTGATCTATAGCTTCTTTGTTAATATTACCACACCCTTCCAAATCGAGATACTTTAAATTAAGACATGAACTAGCAATTTCTTTGATAGTTATATTGGTAATTTTACAAAAGCTAAGGCTGAGATGTTAGAGCCTTGGGCAGGAACGAATAATGTTACAAATTAATAGTTCACAAATATCTGAGCAATGAGAAATATTTAGATATTCTAATTTATGGCATGACCGGGCAATAGCAAATAGACCTTCACTAGTTATTACACCCATATTATAGGATACATACTCGTCCTTTTGCAAATTAAGATATTTCAAATTGGGGTATGATTCTGCTATTCGATTTAATATTTTATCGCTAAATCCTGTGCTAAAATTAAAATCTAAATAAATTATGTTTGGGGACAAGCACATAATGCCTTTGATTTTTTTATCCTAAAGTTAGCAGTAATGTAAAATTTCTAAATGAGTTAGATTTGAGCTATAGACTGGCTTTTGTCTTTTACATACTATTTTCATATATTTCTTTAATTGAGTGCAATTCTCTCTTTCACCTTTCTTTAGCTCGATGCATCTTCATAAGATGGAAGCATCGCATCTGTATTACAATCGGGAAATAAATAGAGCGGGATAGAGGGATTTATCTATCGCTAAAAAATGTAAAATCTGTTCTAGTAATTCTGGTAAATAAAAGATGTTTGATTGCGCTATACATAGTGCATATTATATATTGTATCTTCAAACGAAAAAATAAAATTATGCGATTATGTAAAGCACCTCTCAGCCTGCTCCAGCCTCTCCAGTATCTCATCTAATGCAAGTGCTTGTAAACCATCCATTAAAACTTTAATCTTATTTTCAGGTGATAATCCTTTTAATAATGCGCATTTAAGGAATTTTTCACTATAGCTGAAATTCTTGTTACACTCTTTCAGCTTTGAATAAAAATTCTTGACTGAATAAAATTAATAAATGATATCAGACTGATAAATTAGTCCTCCTGATCCAATCCCTCTAGGACCCCCCCTAACCCATATGTGATTAGTTTTCATCAGAAATCCAGAATGGTTTTGCTTGATCATAAGGTTGTCCTCTCCTTCTGAAATTAACTATAGTATATCTATCAGATAGAGAAGCATGGTTATCAGGCAAATGTCGAAGGGCTTCATTGGTATAAGTATTAGCTTTTGACAGATTTTTAGGCTCATGCATTACAGAAGCAAATACCGCCCTAATTTGCGCAAGGAACTAGAGAGTAATGGCTCATAAGGTTTAGGAATATATTCATCTTTTTTCAGAAATGAACTTAAGTATGTCGATCCAGGCTTTTCAGAGTCTCTTAACTGTCCAGAAGAAATTGTTTCCTGAATCCATGTAAGTAATTCTCTTGTCTGCTCCTCATTTCTTTTCAGTGATCTAAAGACCCGAGAAATATCCTGTTGGCCTCAGTTTTTTGCATATCCAGTTATACCCCCATTTGCTATGCGCAAATTTTTAATTTCAGCAGGATGGATACAGAGCATGATCATTATATCAGCTAGGGCCTGTTTATCGGGTGTGTTAGATACAACATA